AATTTTGTCTTACAATCCAACAATAATTTTTTGGAATGTGTTCATGATGTATGCATCCAATGTTGTTTCAGTGTCTTTTTTTTTAGCTTTTATAGATACCATAGCATTTTCATATTTTTTTCCTGACATCAATTGATGAATCAGGAGGAATAGTTTTGGAACTACATAATTGAAACTTTGCACGCTTATTTATATTGAGATTCTTTACTTTATGTTGGATTGTTTTTTAAACAAATGTCTCATAGGAAAAGCTTTCAGAATGTTTGTTTTTATGTATTTTAATTTTGTCTTAATTTTTTTTCTATCTTTTCTGTCTTAGTTTTCTAATTGTTTTTTTAATCATGAAGGATATATGTACATGGTGTATGCATCCTGTATCGTTCATGCAGCCTCTAATTTAAAAAAAAAAACACAATTGTATTTTTTTTTTTCATTTTTCTCAATTTTGCATTTTCTGGATTTTTAAGGAACGCCAAATGAATTGGGAGAAAAAGTATTCTAGCTACGGCCTTCAAACATTGCATCCTTCTTTTCATTGATATTCTTTACGAAATTCAAGAGGCTTTTATAATTTTATTTATATATATCCAACTAGAAAGTTTTATAACATTTTTACATTCGCTACCCCTGAAGAGTTCTCAAATATTTATGTGATTCCCACATACATGCCATTTGTAACACTTCCAATAACTGCTGTGTAATAATCTTCTTTAAACTTTTTGTCAATGTTATTCTTAATGTGTATGCCAAGTTTCATTTACAATACAGTACAATAAGTTACGATACAATGCAATACAAATTTGTCTTTATTCATTATTCATTTTGCGTAAAGTCAAAATTGGTATTTAATGTTTAATTTTTTGCAATAAAAGTCACAACAAATTTTAAAAAAAAACAACTTGAAGGATTTTTGTCTTTCTGTTTGTGTATGGTTTGTATATATTACTATATGTACTATATTTTTTCCAATGGCTGTATTTATTTAGGTTATCCGTATTTTATTTTCAATGTGGCAGGACTTAGTTGCCTTGAAACCAAACTCCCTTCACAGATCACATATATTTGCTCCCACTCAATCATTACGTCTGTACTTAAATGAAGAAATGATACAGTACAAACAATAGTTAACTGTACGGGTACCAACAAGGAAGGTGAGAAAGTAAAAGGAGACAAATGGCGAAGGAATGATGTGACCTAATTGAATGAGTTTATTGGCTGCCTACTTCGTGCTGGCCCCTAATTTATTTTATGGATTACTTGAGTACACAACTCAAATAACTAACAACCAAACACAAATGTTCTCAAGTCAGTTAAGGGTTTTTTTTCTATTAAATTATGTACCAGTGTGTTAGACCCAGTAGACAGATATGGTAAAAAAAAAAAAAGACTAGTTTTCCAAAAATAAGTCTCTTTCTCATACTTTATACAATGGCATCCTTTAACTTTAAGATGTTCATTGCAACTACCTTGTGAATTAGGTCAAGTCAAATGAGAAAGGTTGTTGAAAGGAGATTCAAGATATCAGGAATAACAGTTAGTGTCCCCATGTATGACTCCCAGTGCCAAGGAAAAGGTTTAAAATTGGTTGTTTTGCTCTGACTAAGCCAAGCTCTCTAGAGGAATAGTTGAAATTAATGCATTATGAATGAAATTTTCATTATTTAGAATACCTAATTAATTCATAAAGTACTGTGTGATTAAATCTTTTAAATTAAACAATACACATAAATAATCTTAAATAAAGGATTTAATTTTAATAATTAAATTAATATTATTACTTTTCTAAAATTCAAATAAAACAATAAATGTATCTAAATAATCTTCATTACTAGATTTTGAAAAAAAAAATTGATCTATGAAAATGGCTTAAACTAAAAAAATAAAATAATAAAGAAAAAAATCTATCTGTACTAAGAGAAATTAACAAAGCAAAAATAAAAAATAAAAATAAAAATAATAAAACTATGAATCAATGAAGTAACAAGAAGAAAAAACAATTTTAAAAAATAATTCTCATACTGTTTTTGTTATCACGCCCGGCTCCGAAGCCATTTCATATGTACGGAGCCACTCCGGGTGCGAAATGTCATTGGCGACCATAGGTACCCGGGTACCTATAGATGCAGCCATATATTAAATGTAGAATGACAATCTGGCCCCAGGAAGAACGTATCTGGCATACGCTGTAACAGTTACTGACACATCAGCTGTTTCATTGACTGTTACATGGAGGTCTTATAGACTGTCACAAATAGACTATCACAATGACTGTCACGTGGACTGTCACATTGAATGTCGCATTGAATGGTCACCGACAATTAGAATAACCATAACACTGACAATACTTGTAACAATGACTGTTACTTTTCATTGCATTCCAGAACATTAAATTGTCCGTCAATGCATTGACTGTGTATTGTCTCTTCAATGGTGACTTTCATTTTAGGTTTTTTGCACAATTTTTTATTAAAACAAAATTTCAGGCAGAGCTATAGTCTAGTCTATTTAAAGAGGCATTTCTGCTAAAGTCGAAAATTATATTTTATTTTACAAATAGGCTTAAAGAGGGGTACCAAAAAAAAAACTACTAAAAGTTGTAAATGTCTTGCTTAAAAACACAAGCGTTTTTTATGTCGTAGCAAAAACAACAAAGTTTTCATGAGCTTTCTATTGAAGCGTTCAATTGTTCCTTATTAGTTTAATTCTGTCTAATGTGAATCTATACTTTAAAAAATATATTGCATATATGAATCGAAAATGTGTTGTTATTAATGTATGTGTGGGGGGGGGGGGCAAAAAATGACGTTGACTTGCTAACCAATGCAACTTTAACTTTAATTAGACTTGTGATCGTTTAAAAAGGTGAATTTTTTTCTCTATTTTAAAACCGGGAAATGTAAGGTTTTCACATTTAAAACAAAACACTTTAATATTTTTGTGTCAATGATTTTTAACCATGCATTTTAAGGTTGAACAGAGAACTCTTTTGTCTGGGAGAAGTTCTTTTGAGGAAAAAAAAAAATAACTGAAACCATTTTGGATGAAATATATATTTATTTTAGTAGTATTATGTATTTATGCCTGGATATCAGATGATCTCAACCTTTAGATGTTACATTAAGAAATGGCGTCAGCAAGGCGAGTCTAGACTCTTATGCCCCCCCCCCCAAATTACCCCTCCCCGGTCCGACGTATCGGACCGCGAAGCGGCACGTTGGAGATGCCCACTCGTCAGGACGGCCCCCACACGGGCCCCTCACCCAAGTCCCCCGCTTGGGCGCCTGGGCGCTCGACCAGGACCCCGCCTGGGGGCCGCCCCAACCAGGAGGCACCCGGTTGATCCGACACTATGCGTTTAAACAGTGCACTCGATCGACTTTCTCAGGAGTTGGGATGGAAAATTTACGTTCTAATATCTTCCCCCACCCATCCCGGGAAAGCGTCGGACACCCTATAAGAGGGATTCCACAGTGGGTTTCCACAACGCAACTAGCTCACGATGTAGCTGGGACGAAACGGTTGCCTAGGGGCAGCGTTCTCACGGCTGCATTAATTGAATCCTCGGCCAGAGGTTACCACCCTCGCCTCTGGCCTCATACCCGTCAACGGCAACTTGTAATCATGATCCCTACCCTGGCTCTGCCTAACTTTCCGACTGCGAAATATCCCAGCCGGCAGCCCTGTGGGAGCTGTTTTATGTACGGCAGGTACCGAGCACACCCTTTGTCTGCCCACGCGGGGCGTGCCCAGTAGTTATGTTTCCAGGCAAATGCCGAGGGGGTCGGTGGCCGACGCTTCCTAATCGACAAGCCACAACAGACTTGTCAACCGGAAACCTGGAACACCTTGAGATAAATTAATGATTCGTTGTCGTGTAATCTTTAAGCTTCTTTGACTGTACTGATTACAACTCACGACTATCCATGGCAAATGGCGGGAAACCAGTGCGGCTAGTAAACTAGTAAATGCATATATACACACAAACAAAATCTAGCAACATCGTAAACTAAAGCTGCCAAGATGAATAATAATAATTATAATTAAAATACTATAATCAAAATATGGGGGGATGGGGGGGTTGCGATGGGTAGTGTGGACTTGTTTATTAGTGATATGTTTTCCATCTTAAGTACCCTACCAATACAATAAGAGAAAATTCAGCTTTTATAAAGTTAATGTTAACCATCAACCAACATGTCTGTGGTGTATGGTACATTTTAAGGTTGAAGGATGTCACCACATATAAAATTGAACATGGTGTGCTTTGTGATCATGCCTTTTTTTATCCGTTATATTAATTTCGCTTGCATTCGTGTGTTTGTGGCAAAGTCTTCGGGCGGCTAATTGGCCCACTTCCCGTAATCCCATTGAGTTGAAACTTGGCAAATAGATTCGCTGCCGATGACAACACCGTCTTTCAAATTGTCATCCCCACCATTAACCCTCCATAAATCTTTGTTACCTTTTTTGTTCCAAGGTAAGATGAAGGAAACAGAATTTAAATATTTAATGGGTGCATGTTTTAGTGTGGAGAGTGTGTGGCTGTTTACGTTTTTGGGTTTACATATATTTTAAGTCTGTCAGATAAAAACCCATCCCTATACCAAAAATTATTTCTACAATCAAATAAATGATAAATCACATACAATTACATAAATGCGGACAAAAATGCATATAAATGATTTATACGAAAAGCTCTTTCATGGGTTGTTCAACAAGAGAATCACTGGAGAACTATTTACGATCAACCATTGGGACAGTCAAGGCTTTCTGATCTGGCTCTTTTATCAATTGAAAGTATGCGGTGAAGGATATTGGTTGTGATCAACTTATTGAAAGGTTTGCAGCTTTGAACTTGAAGACCAGGAAAGGAACATTTTTAAATATATTTTTTTAAAATTTTATATATATATATAGGGAATGGTATTTAAGCCATGTAAAATAAATAATGTAATAAGTTATATTTAGGTGATGTAATAATATATCTCAGACTCTCTAAATTTACTCTTTGAATTCGGTATGTAGATTGTCCTTGTAAGCTACAATATGGCTGCTCCTATAAGAAAAGCCCTTGTCCACAAATTTTGTATGTGCCATAGTGCTTCCCGAAGTTTAAACTTATCTTATTCAGTTAGATCATTAAGCACACATCGTCAGAAATTATTAAAAAGTGAAGAAAATGCTCAAAGATCTCATCAAACTACCGAAGGACAAAAAACACATTTCGGATTCCAGTCAGTACCCGAGGAGGAAAAGGAACACAAAGGTCAGAGATCAAAGTCTATGTGTTGGCTTGTCCGTGGGTGCAATTGTCATGTGTTCGGATGTCTTGTGGTCAATTGTTGTAACCTCACTTAGCCATCAAACATCAAGGTTCAGGTTGTTGCAACATTAAACAATCAGAAATCTGTCCAGAAGAGCCACTGATGACGGTAGAACTACCGGGATTGGGGGGAGGGGGGGGGGCCTGGGGTGACTGTGTAGTGTGTTGCTTTCCTAAACAGAAACATTACAAGACCAAGGTGAACACCCTCTGTATGCCAGTGTTTCTATATTACCTCAATGTATAAGTAAATCACTCTGTCCTGGTGCACAGCTTCCTGGTAAAAGATGTGGAGCATGAGACTCTGCTATAGTATTTATAAATTATTACCATTCCACTATCACTAACATCAGAGAGCAACCAATGTCCAATAGTTGGTTGACTTGTCACTTGTCCTCATAATGAGCAGACCAGGGATATATAATGAGCGGACTAGAGATTTCGGTACCAGGTGTAAAACAGAAACATGACGGGTGCACATTAACTTGATGTACTGTAATACTATTGATATTGCTCAGCTACTGAGCTAGTGATGAAGAAAAATGTTTCAGTGGCATTGCAAGGGTTAGTGCCGTCCAAGGTGGGCCAAGATTTTTGTTGCCCTCAAACAAAAGATTTTAAAAACTCCTCTGTTGGCCAATAGTGCCGCCCATCCATGCATAAAAAAGTGCTGCCGGGGCAGACCCCCCTCCCCCCCCCCCAACATCCACCCTCCCTATACAAGTCAAATAACTTTCTTGGCAGTTGTGGGTCATCCATCTTATAATAGGCAAATTAGGGGTTTAGGTGGTCTATGGTTGGTCTTTCTAATTTGATAAAAGGAACTTAACTGGTCAACTGACAATGAAGTTGTTGGCTTTGATTTGTGCTGAGTAAAATGAGAGACTGGGCTAGTGGTTATTAATAGTTAGGAGGACTCGTTTGCTTTATTGTAATCTTTTCCTGACATATATTTCATTACTTGCCATCTGTTTGCATCTTTGTAAATCACCATCTATTTTTTGACAGTGAAATTGTCACAAATTTGTAAAAAAAATATAAAAAAGTGACACTTTCATGAAACATTGACCCACATGATCCCAATTACATGTAATCTAGATGTGTGACGACATCCACAGATGCAGGATTGTGCGGAGGAAAAGGGAAACCTGAAATTACAGCCCCCAGTAAATAGTAAATGTATCCCCTGATATTGATGCCCCCGGCAGTTACCACAACTTCCCTGTGTGTATGGCCCCACAGTTTCCAAGATGAATAGAAGATGTGAGATATAAGCATTTAAACTTGCCAAAACCCACTGGTTTAGAAAGAAATATCCTACACCAAGATATAAATAGAACTAAATAAAGTAATTAAAAATTTTAAAACTATATTTATTTAAATCCAGATACATCCGATTGGGAAATAAAAATAGAATGTATCATTAAATTAATGTATCTTAAAGACAGAAGAGTCCTCCTTGAATACCACAATGGCCCAGTGAATGATTAATAATGCAGACAATGAACTTTTTTTTATCTCATACAATTTGTTTAATGGTTTATGCATTAGAAGAAAATAATGATGCACACTTCTGTCTCTGTAGCTAGACTCTAGAAGCTCTCCTTGGTAGGCGAAAATATGCAAAGTAGCTACCTTATATTTAATTTATTATTTATATATATTTTTAAGACTTAATAAAGCCTCCCCACAATCTTTTAAACCTTTCCCACACTAGTTAAACACTTCCTATACTCTTCAACACTTTCTACACATGTAATTTTAACATGTACAATTCTATATTGCTACTCACAGCGATACAGTATTTATAATTTATTTTTTACAGCTACAGAATGTATTATATAAAAAGCCTATAGGCTGCTACAATTTCAATTACTATTGTGAGAGTGAGACTTGTATTACTATTATGAGTGTGAGACTTCAATTAGTATTATGAGAGTGAGACTTACTTTATAAAATATAAGTAGGTCTATATATGCCATCAATTACCAGAAGGGATTATTACATTTATTTTCACATTTGAAATGGGAAACATGCATAATGATTTTATTCCTCAACTTAATTAATTAGTTAATAATAGGCCTAACTAATAGTAGCATTAGACTCAATTAGATCGAGGCCTTCACTTTTAACAAAAATTGCTGAACTTCATAAAATTTTATTATTTATAATTAAGAGATTTTTAACCAAACATTATTTTCTTCATTTCCTCATCAGTATATGAAGTATTTGAGAATGTAGCATCAAAATACGATCTTATGAACGACGCCATGAGTGGGGGAATACATAGAATTTGGAAAGATATGTTTCTAGACAGGTTTGCTCCAGCACCTGGTACAAAGCTTTTAGATGTAGCTGGAGGTACAGGTCAGTCTTGTCTAAAGCTCAGTTAAATCTCACATTTTGTTTGAAATAATAAAATATACTCTGACATATTTACAATTTGAACTTATTGCCCCTGCGACATTTTATCACACTAACTATAAACAATGTTAACCATTAGCTTCCAAGCAAATGCTATTACATGAATAAGCAATGTACAGTACGCGCCAAAAGTTACAGTACTATAACTCTCACATCATGAACATGCATATGCCTTCAAAAGGAAGATAGGTCGGGCTGTTGTCCTTGGAAATTAGTCTCTTAGTAGAGGAGAAAAAAAAATTGTTCTTCCACCTTTTTCAAACTCAGTCCCCGCTCTGGACCAATTATGTATGAGTGAAAATTATACTCAGCTGTGAATACTTGTTCATGCATCGAGAGACCAGTTACATCTAGCCAAGAAATCTTTCTTTTCACAACTAGGAAAATGTGGCGGCTGGAGCTATGCACTGTTGACAAACAAATCCACGCTTTCAAGATTCAAGGGTTTTATACAGTTTGAAAATGAGGATAGCTTTTTTCAAATCAGATGTTATTGATAGTAATAGTAGCAATGCTATAAGGTTTCATTTGATCTCTTTAAATTCAAACATGGATTACATATATATGTATTTACTTGCAGGTGACATAGCTTTTCGATTTCTGAAATACGTTGGAGCACCGACACACATATCCCTACAGAATGAGAGTGCAATGCGGGTAAAAATGTTTTCTTCTGTTATTTTAATGGAATTGCACAAACTGTTTATAAGGATTTGACAATTTTTATTATTTTTTATTCGGAGATTTCAAAAGTTGAATTGTTAAGAAGTTTGTTTAATCAAATGCCTGTTTATTTCCTGTTGTTTTCGTGCAACATGATATTATCCATGGTCGATAAAAAAAATGTTTGACTTTCAGCAAAGGAAATGGTATAATAGGCCACCTGTGCAGAAAATATCCTGAAATTTGGCTAAACAAAGGAACTTTACTTACTAATATGCTATTTAGTTTTACCAGCATTTCTTTATGTTGACTGCATAATCTTTAATGCATGATTAAACAATTTGCTTACAAATAATTAATGTGATGATCATCTCTCCTCATATTTCTTCTCTAAAGGAAAAGGAATCATCGGAGGAAGAAAATCCTGCCGCAATTATTTTTTCAGAGCCTGATGAAAACGGCAGTCATGTAACAGTCTGTGATATTAACCAAGCCATGCTGGATGTTGGAAGGCATAAAGCAGATGAGATGGGTTATACTTCAGGTATATTATATGTTGCAATATTATATGTTGTCTGGGTTAAATGCAGTGAGGGGAGAGCTCCATGACAAATTACTTTTATATTCTAGTTGAATATTTATTGATTACAATGGTTACAGATTTAGCCTAAATTTTATTTAAGGTTTACTTTCAATCAGTCACAGTAGCAAAGAGCTTAAACTTAAATAATGGGAAGGTTTTCACACAACAGATGTAATATACAAAAACCATATTATTATTTGTAATTTATAAGACAGCTCAACTAGAAATCAGCTGTTTTAAAATAATATTTGTAATTAGATAAAATATTTTATTGGTGTCAATGCCCCACATTTATTTTACTTTGTGAAACGTTGTGATTTGTGACCCATTCAATTTTATCCTAGGGATTTCATGGTTAAGAGGCAACGCGGAGATGCTGTCCTTGCCTGATAACACATTTGATGCATACACAATAGCTTTCGGTATTAGAAATTGTACACATGTTCAAAAGGTGAGTCCAACATCATTTGTTTAATGAAAGAACAGCATGCAACTGTTATAATAATAATGAGAAGTGGTCTTATATAGCTCTGTACCCCAGCCTAGGACTGGACTTTTCGCGCTGTACATAAATAATATTAGCAAAGAGACATAATCATGATATTAAAATAAAATACATAAATGAAATAAAAAAACAGCATGTAATCAAAACAATAACAAAGGTATATTCACACACCCACCCCAAAAATTGTACAAGGCAACCCATGGACGTTTATTGGTTTATAGGAGGGGAATCAGTCAGTATTCTCATATCTGTTTTAGGTTATATAGTTTAGAGTAAATAAATTGTCAGTTTTTAACCACAAACAGCTTCATTAACTTGTTCATTTTAGAACATGGTATTTTGTTGTTGTTAAAATACAACTCTGAATAATGAATAGGATTATCATGCATAGGGATCATTTAAACAAAGAAATGACAAACTCTTGTGTCAAAATTTCTAAACTTAAATAATTGCCACCTCTGTGAGTCCCTATTTTTAAACTAAAATGAATGGCCAACTCTAATGAGTCACATTTCTAAACTATGTGTTTTCAGGTATTAAATGAAGCGTACAGAGTACTAAAACCTGGAGGCAGATTTTTGTGTTTAGAATTTAGTGAGGTGAAAAATCCTTTATTGCGCAGGTAAGCAAATACATTTGTAATTTGTTATCTAGAAAAGCTTTTAAGAGTAAACGCTTGTCATGCTTTTCAAATTCAAAACACTATTCATTACCTACACAGCCAACTTTATTTTGGTGGCTGTCATATTTTTAACAAATTATGAGGTTTAATGTTGAATAGTGACGATATATTGTGATAACAAATAGTGCATTTATCTCTGAAAATTTTCACACAAACAGGAAGAGGCTGTGCAGGTTGTATTTATAAATGAATTTATTGTTTTAAGTTTTTTCGGTACTAGATTAATATTGATTTGTCCAGGTTATTGCATTGTGATAGATTTATTTTCATCAGTACTGAAACAATTTTTCAAGTTTCATGTACTGAATGTAATAGATTTCTTCATCTTAATTTTAGGGTATGTGTGGAAAAATTGATTTTTCTCTTCTTCTTCTCAGTGTGTATGATAACTACTCCTTCCAAGTGATTCCTGTAATGGGTCAGGTCTTAGCAGGAGACTGGAAGTCATACCAGTATCTTGTAGAGAGTATCAGACAGTTCCCAAATCAGGTGAGAGGACAATTTATATGGCCCTCTTATAACTCATCACTATATCTTTTATCATTGTCCCTGTTATCAAATGATTGTATCTTAAACATTGTACATCATTTCTAAATTCTAGACCCTCCATAATCATCAGACCACCCTATCTCTGAAGAATTTTGTACTTTAATGAGTCAATATTTTCTTTTTAACTAGTATTTTTCCTTAAAAGAAGTAATTTCAATGAATGTTAGATGATATCACAAGAGACAAGTCTCTATTCCTTATTAGATCATTTCTAAATTTTTATGTTTTAAAACATATTTATATCTATTATTAAACCTCTTCTTTTGTAGGAAGATTTTGCTGCTATGATAAAATTGGCAGGCTTCAGAATGGTCAGCTATGAGAATTTAACATTTGGTGTGGCAGCTATACACTCAGGATTCAAGATTTAAAACTTTCTATTTTTACCTTTATTCATTCAAGCACTAAATCTGTGTTACTAAAAATATTTGGATTAAAAAATAGATCATAGATGAAGAAGTGCCTGGTAGGAATCTTACTAAAAATATTCATCCTATTGTATCTCTCCTCTAAATGGTTAGGACTTCTTTTTATTTCGCCCAACAGATACTTGAATGCAGAGTCAAACTATTGTATTTCCACCAGCAGCTCAAATATTCGACTTTGTGATAAGATTCTTATGCTTTAAGCTTATATTTGTTGTAACAAAATCTGTATCCAAGCTTATCTTAAATCACATGAATAAGCTCACATGAGGATCTATCAGAGATATTTTTAAAATAATAATAACAGCAACGAAGATGGAAGCAGATCTTATATTCTAAGATATGTACCAGTCTTGCTTTGTGAAGGGTTTAATAAGGAGGGGTGTTGTCAGGAATGGTGATATTTATAAGATGGACGCAATGTCTTGGCGAAATAAAAATTGATGAAAGATTTTCTTTTTCAGATTTTATAAGGTTGTGTTGGGTTTTTTAAATATTTAATAATAGAAAGATATGAATCTTTTAACATCTAAATTATTCCCGCTCTTCCTATGTGTTCTCAGCAGGAGTTTAACAGAATTTTTTTAATTACATTTCATTGGTTATAGTATGCACTTTAAATTGCACAAGGTCTTCTGTCAAGTTATAAGATTTCATTTGATCAGAAATAAATGTGTTATGTCTAATCATCTTGTGCATTTGAATACATTTATATTTGAAGCTTGTATTGTGAATATTTTATTTGCACACCTGGCCAGTCAATTTCAAGATTTGACACTTCAAAATTAATACAATTTAAGTCATCATTTTTGTAATTAAAGCACTCGAGCCAAAAACATGTTGCCGTTAGATTGATTTGTATTGGAAAAATATCCTTAGATTGATTTGTAGTGGACAAATATCCGTGTCTTGCTTTAAACATCTTCACTAATGTCATAACTCATAGTCTTTCAAGCAAGGAAAAAACGATATTCTTAAATTTATCAAAATAAACGTGAGAAGTTAGTTTTATTTGACTATGATATTGATGCAACAAATAGGGCAAGTTATTCAATGTAAGAGAATATCAGGTTTAGTTTATTTGCAATTATGAAGACTACTTTTTGTGTGAATATATGGTACTACTACTTAGTTCAGCATTCCTGTATCAGTATATTAATTTTTGAATTGCCATGAAAAATTTATTTTAAGAACAAAAAAAAATAGGTATTAAACTTATCACATTACTTTTATTTATGTAGTTTTATCTGACATGACATGTAAATGTTTGTTACAGTAGCTTTATAAAAGCATAATTTAAAGAAAGATTTGATCTTTGAACAATTAACACTTTGTTAAACATAAGTAATAAAAGCATAAAAAGTTATTTTCATAAGCACTGAATACATTAAAATTTAAATGGTATATCCTCATAGCAGTTTCACCAACCTTCAAATAAATCAATCTTTGAATATGGATTTATTTTTGTATGATAAAAATAAATTTTTTAAAATTACAGAATTCTTCATAAAATTTTGCCCCCCCCCCCCCCCGCACCCAATATAAAAGTATTTCTTTCTCACTATTCAATCATCCAGTGTGTATTTGTAAACAGTTTTATATTCTGACATCCTCTTCTTGTAATCGGCATCAAACTCTTCATTCATGGCCACAGTGAACCAGTTCTTCCAGTCTCCAACATCACCTGACAAATAAATGCACTGTTCACTTTAATAAATAGGATAAATATACAAACTATGAGTAACTATTTTGACTTATTCAGATACAAAGTTTTATATTCAGATAAAAAGTTTTATTTGATACCAGTACCCTTTTTAACATGGGGAGAGTGTTAATCAGTATATTAGGGGCACACAGAATACATAGAAGGATTTGGGAAAAGACTAAATCATTACGTAGAGAAATAAAATAAAATGTAATAGTGCATACAAATTTAAATGTGCTATATTTTAGTGCTGCACATTATAAGCAAGGTTGAGTAAGATTGACTGGTAGATGTTTTAAATGGCTGTTCAGTCATACAATTTCTGTTGGACTCCACTACACTAACTTTATGTCACTTTTCTGGGGTAGGGGGAGTTAAAACAAAGGAACCCATTGGGGCATCATTTTCGTCATTAAAGGCGATGAATAAGTCGCTTGTTTTTGGTCACCAATTGTAACTTGTAGTTGTCAACATAATTAAGTGAAACATATTCGGTTAAATAACGGTTAACACTTTTCATAGTTAATGATGTCGGGGGAGGGGGGGAGCTCTTAAGTGAGTCTCGGAGTAGAGTCAGGGCATATCATCCATCTCTAGGGAGTGAGTCAGGGCATATCATCCATCTCTAGGGAGTGGAGTCAGGGCATATCATCCATCTCTAGGGAGTGGAGTCAGGGCATATTCATCTCTAGGGAGTGGAGTCAGGGCATATCATCTATCTCTAGGGAGTGGAGTCAGGGCATTTCCATTTCTAGGGAGTGGAGTCAGGGCATATCATCAATCTCTAGGGAGTGGAGTCAGGGCATATCATCCATCTCTAGGGAGTGGAGTCGGGGCATATAATCCATTTCTAGGGAGTTGAGTCAAGGCATATCATCATCTCTAGGTGGTGGAGTCAGGGCATATTAACCTTCTTAGAGGCTCGGGGTAGGGTAAGGAAATATCATCCATCTCTGTGGGTGTGTTCAGGGCATATCATCTATCCCTAGCAATGGGTTAGGAGATATCATCCATCTCTAAGGGTGGGTTCAGGGCATATCATCAATGATGACGTTTTCAACTAAATTTAGTTTTAATTACGTTACTATAACTCTGAGCACTTTCCAACTTAAATACCATTACCAACAAACTCTTCTGTTTACCTTTTCTGTAAAACCCTAACTTCTTGTCCTTGAAGAGCGCACGTATGTGTTCCTTGGCGGTGCTGTCTTTGTATTCTTTCATCTTGTCGAAACTGCAGGCGGCAGCTATTTGCTCACACAACTCATCACTGCATCCGGTATTCAGGAATTCGTTCAACTTTTTGACGCCTTCAAAAGGGTTCTGAACAGATTATCAAGAGAAGATTGAAATAAGTTGTTATGAGCAAGACTAAGACCACAAGCCCTGCGATGTTCATACGTATGTGACAATTTGGATGTCCCCATAAGTATGTGACCATTGGCATGTCCCCATACGTATGTGACAATGGGGATGTCCCCATACGTATGTGACAATTGGGATGTCCCCATAAGTATGTGACCATTGGCATGTCCCCATACGTATGTGACAATGGGGATGTCCCCATACGTATGTGACAATTGGGATGTCCCCATAAGTTTGTGACCATTGGCATGTCCCCATACGTATGTGACAATGGGGATGTCCCCATACGTATGTGACAACTGGGATGTCCCCATAATGATGTGACAATGGCAGGACTGGATTAACCCAAACATCAGACACGGTACCAAGGGTTCAACGTCTTTATGGAACCCCACGCCTTTAAGGGACTCCACGCCTAAAAGGACCCCACGCCTAAAAGGACCCCACGCCTTTAAGGGACTACATGCCCTTCAGGGACCTTCGACTGCATAATATTTTTTTTTAAATCTATTTGAAAAGTAATAACATAATGTCCTTTGTACGCATCTAGAGGATCATCAAGTGCACTAGGGGCCAGATCGACATGCGAAGTAGTGTTGTGCTATAAATAGATCGGATACGGTGGTTCATCAAAATTATGATCATATGAAACAAATCTTTTCAATGTAATACTTGAGTTCTATATATATTTGTGTTACGCTGCAAAGTGAAGGTTAATATAAAATCAGAAATCTATCTCACGAAAATGGAATTAGATATATTGTGAGAAACCCTCCAAAGACCCAATGTATTGTGTTGCAGCTCATTTGGAGATGAGGAAGTGTGTCAAAATTGAGACGCAAGATTTTACCACAAACAAATTAACCACACGGACAGAGCAACCTATGGAGAAAGTCATACGACATCATTGCATTTGTTCTGGGCGCCCCACGATTTGTATTTAGTCATATGACTGCAACACTCTGCAACACTGCAACAATTTTGTGGGGACATTTATTTTATACTTTTTAGTGGGTTTTTTTGTTAAGTAAGTGTGTTTTTTTTAAATAAGTATTTTTATATAGTTTTATTTTGTACTTATGTAGTCAGACTTTCAGCTCCATTCGACATCAGGAAATGGGTCAAAATAGAGATGCAAGATTTGACCAGCAGAGGTCACTCAGGGATCTGTGTAAATCACTGGGGATGTGTACTGTCGTCGGAGGTGGGTAATGTACAATGTTTCAGCTCAATTGGACACCAGGATTTGGGTTAAAATTGAGATGCAAGATTTGAACCAGATAAGCAGTGAAAATCGCAAGCTAAAAATACAAACTTAATAATAAGTTGAGTCATACTTTTAAGTAATTAAATTTGTACCGTATTCAAATAATTGTTAAATAAATTGTTATAATAAAGACGGTTTAAAATACCCTTTTAAATTGTCAAAACTAGAAAAAAACACAACAACGGCAATATATTACTATTTTCAAAAACTATCTGTAACGGCATAATTATTTATTATTCTGTCCCTTCTCTTTTGTATAATGTTGAAATCCCTAAAAAAAATTGAACGAATTGAAATTCTTTTTTTTTTCAAGGTCCCACCAACCATCTGCGCGACATAATTTGTGTTTTTTCTACACTTACACTTTATTCTTTATCATTTAATGAACAACAGCCAAAAATAAAGAATCGTTGAGATTGTCAAATGCATCATTCAAAATTTGGAATTGACTAAATAAATCAGAACTGTTGGAAGATTATTTTCAACAACAAATTGAGTCAAAAGGCAAAAAATTAATATAAATTTGCACAATTATTTGCCTATTTATGAAAAGGGTAACGTAATTTTGGGATTTAGGCCAGTTCCTAAAGTAATGGGCAGCGGCGTAAACATGTTTTAAGAATAGGAGGAGGGCTCCAAGGGCTCACTGGCCTAAGAAATATTTTCAGCCAATTCAATTCTTCATGACTTGGGGTAATTTATAGTACATTATAAACAATGGAACATTTAAAATGTCTAAGATTTATATAGCAATGTATTGTATTTTTTTTGTAAGTCTCGAAATCAAACGTGAAAGGTATGTCACTAAGTATTAGGGGAATGTGCGAGAGGGGTCAATTGGCATAAGGAAGGATGTGCATGGAGGGGGGGGGTCCACCCCAGAAGGTACTTTTTTCTTTATACCGAGGGGCGGCATTTTCGGTTATTGCGCTAACGCTAACTACGCCACTGGAAGAGGAGCACCAAAAGTTCGTCTGCCTCAGGGCCTCAGCAAGGTCTAATCCGGCATTGGACATTGGGGCCTCAGCAAGGTCTAATCCGGCATTGGACATTGGGGCCTCAGCAAGGCCTAATCCGGCATTGGGTATTGGGGCCTCAGCAAGGCCTAATCCGACATTGGGACCTCAACAAGGCCTAATCCGGCATTGGACATTACCAAACGCCATGCATAGAATTAAGGGGAGACAAAACGTAAGGGGAAACAACAAACGTAAAATTTTCCTATCAGAGTACTCATCAAATGGGAGGACTTTGAGAGAATTTCATCTTTTGTTGACAGCCGGGAAAAACAGAAATAAAAAGTGCAATGTCATCAATTGGGTCAGTGAATAAGACACTTAATATGAGACACTAAAATATTTTTTTTTCATTTATCAGTTTTGAAATTTAATAATTGATAGACTCGGAATCTAATGACAGATAAAAATAATAAATAGGAGATAAAAAGGTTGAATTCACTCCTGGTGTTTCTGACTACTACTGATTGGTGTTTTCTTAGAATAGACCGACCTCCTTACGTCATCAAAATTGATTTTAAATCTACTCACCAGCTTCATGTCCTCAAACACTGACGTGTAAATAGGACATTCGGGGTGAGCCTCTATTCCTTTCTGCCATTCCATCAGGTAGTCGAACAGGTCACCGTAAAGATCTGGATAGTTCATAATTATTGTAATCATCATTAAACGACCCCTAAAAACAAAGTTTTGCGCGTGAAACCTCTTTTAAAATATAGTACCGAGTGTGGCTGAAAATTTGACCAAACATGAATACAAGTAATGCACTTTATAAGAATCCCAATTACTGCTCCCCCCCCCCCTTGGGTTCCCTTGTCTTCACGCCCCTGAACTAATATTAATATTCTAATGACCCACCACCCGCTTTTACACCACATATTTTTTTTTCACCAACTATTTCAGAAAAAAGAAAAGAAAATATTACGCAACAAACGCACTTGTGATTTTTATCAAAAGAATCCCATTTAGCGCAGTTATCGGAAATTTTATTACGTGAAATGATATTTGCTTCATATTCCCTTTAAAAAAGGGGAGAAACTGATTTTTGGGGTTGGCGTGGGGCTGAAAATTTGAAATGTGTTGTCATCGGAAGCGAGTCTATGTGCCCAGTTTCAGCTTTGATAGGTTGAAGGGAAATGGGTCAAATGGCCTTCCGAAGATTTTACCACCCAGCCAATAACAAACAAAAAACGAAGTTAATATAACGGATTTTAAAAAATATTTTACAAAATAAAAGATAAGATACAGTACTGTATTTTATGTTTTATTTTTAAAATTATTTTTTTTTAATCCGTTATATTAACTTCGTGTTTTTAAATAATACATTGTAGGTGCGTAGGAGTCGACCGCACCTCGTGATAAATTACAATTGATATCAAAGAAACTATGAGTGCATATTTTAAGGGGTCCACTTTTAGACTTAACCCTGGGCTGCATTTTAGTCCAATACGCCACTGACTAAGTATACAGTAATTAGCAAGACTTATTTCAATCACTACGCAAACATAAGTCAGATGGCAATCAAGGTAGTCATATTAACACATTTAACGCATAGGTTTTGTAGAACATAAATTGAACCCCATTTTATCATCTCAAAATGAGCTTAAAGTGTTAGAAAAAGTATTATTTATTTAATATAAATCCATAACTTTCACGGAGACCACTGGAATTTTCAGCTTTAATAGCCCTGACTTAATCTCTACCTCCCAGATGTGGTCATCAATAATAACGTCATGGATTTCATTTCTCATGGAATACATATTATTCTTTGTGATCGCTTTACCATATTCATGGTAGTTTTCTTTGATGTATGACTAAGCTGCCATTAACAGGCTAAGTTATTTATTTGAATTTAGATTTCACTTTCGTATTTACTGGAGGACATTATCTGGCCATTCAGTAGTAATTTTTTTTTTTTTAAATTTGCACATAACCAGAAGTTAACTCTTTCACAATGTCTCAGCGTAACAATGACCACTATCATCAAATCATAAGTACTCTAATCATAAGTACTATAATCATAAGTACACTATTCATAAGTACTCTAATCATAAGTACACTAATCATAAGTACTCTAATCATAAGTACTCTAATCATAAGTACTCTAATCATAAGTACTCTAATCATAAGTACTCTAATCATAAGTACTCTAATCATAAGTACTCTAATCATAAGTACTCTAATCATAAGTACTCTAATCATAAGTACTCTAATCATAAGTACTCTAATCATAAGTACTCTAATCATAAGTACTCTAATCATAAGTACTCTGCATTGGTAAAGCCTTACATCCGACTTCCAAGCAGAGGTGGAAGAAGTGTTCAAATGTCCCCGGGTAGTTGAACGGAAGAATGTTTTTGTTGATGTGGTTGTAGAAGGACACAAGGACGTCTTTGGGGTTTCGGTCCAAGTAAATAATCTTGATCTTCTTCTCAAGGGCTTGTCTTGGGATGGACCTGGTGATGAACAAATTTAGACCTGGTGGTGAACAAATTAAGACCTGGTGATTAACAAATTTGGAGCTGGTGGTGCAGAGATACAGACCTGGTGATGAATCGTGACCACACATTCTTTCAAATTTTCAGACCCCACCCCCCTCAAATCCCAACCTCTAAAAATCTGTTTTTCCTGTTTTTCTAGGACAGGGGTCTCCAACTCGTGCCCCGCGGGCGATTTGCGGCCCGCAAGACGATATTTTTTCGGCCCGCTACATGACAGCGAGGTTTAGTATTAATGCGGCCGGCGCGTTTCCCCAATGTTCATATCTATAACGTGACCCTCCGCGACGGTTTCAGTTGAATCTCACTGACTCGTCTAATTCTGATTTTATTACGTTTGTACAGATTTGGACGTTGATTATAATGGTAAAAACAGTTTTAAAATCGGTCTAAAAGTTTTTATTTTATAGCATTTTATGAGACAAACATGGCCAAAGTGCGTTTTAAAAAAAAAATTAAAAGTCAGTTAGTGGGTAATGCACAACCACAATTGTGTCAGTCGTATCAATTGGATACAGTATCAAAGCCTGACTATTAAAATTTCCGCTTGTGTTTACGAGTGACGGGAATACCGAACCTGTCAGCTTGGCCACTTTCAAAACAGGGTTAGACTAGTGAAAAGGCCTTTCCTAAGATAAAAAATAAAATTCATTCTTCTTACAATAGCATCTTCCTACAATAGCATCTTCCTACAATAGCATCTTCCTACAATAGCATCTTCCTACAATAGCATCTTCCTACAATAGCATCTTCCTACAATAGCATCTTCCTACAATAGCATCTTCCTACAATAGCATCTTCATACAATAGCATCTTCCTACAATAGCATCTTCCTTCCCATCAATAATTCATAAATAATGCTTGCTCCTGTCTACTGTTTGCACACGTTTTAGCATTTAAAGTCTTCATGGAGAAGGATGGGATGGTTGTTCCTGTACTAAGTGATCCCAAATGGCTCATGGACTTGGCTTTTTTTTTTACATTACACAGGAGATGAATGTACTCACCAAGAAGTTACAAGACCAAGGGTAGCTTGTCAGTGCTGCTAAGACAATGTTAGGGCAAATGGAGCTGATTGATCTTCAGTGTGATTCTTATCCTAAGTTCAGGGAGGTGAATGGAAAAACAAACAAACATGGAAATTTATGAGAGCATTGCCCTCCACCTTCCCTGAGATTTCCAGGTTGTTCAAGCGGATCATGTGCCTTTTTTGGGAGCACCTGTCTGTGTGAAAAGCTATTTTCCAATATGAACTTTAACAGTTGCTTCCTCACTCAAGCCAATGTTGCTCAGTTGTGTAACACTCAAGCCAATGTTGCTCAGTTGTGTAAGAAGAAAGCGCTGTCTCTGGCAACAAGCAGTAGGAGGAAGAAAATGAAGCCAAGTTCTTGAGAATCCTTAATGTTTTTATTTGTTATTAATAAAGGTTGAGCAGAATGTAACAGTTGTACATAATTGAATTTCTCATCGCTTTTTTGTGTGGAATACTTGACTCTGCCTCCTGCGGCCCCCGGATGATTTGAGTTTGAGACCCCTGTTCTAGGGAAAATGAAGGAAAATTCCCGATAACTGCGCTAAATGAGATTCTTAAAACAAAAATATTGCAAGTGCGTAATATTTCCTTTATTTTTTTCTGAAATATTTTGTGTAATAAATGTGCGACGTTAAAGAGTGGTAGTAAAAACATATTAATAAAGTTCAGGGGAACGAAAACAAATGAGCGGTTGTGTGCCTTTGGGGGGAGGGACACCAATTGGGATTCTTATAAAGTGAGTTACTTCTATGCATGTTTTGTCCAATGTTCAGTCCCACCTCCATTGTTCGATGTCACATTTTATACGAAAAGCATTGTTTTTTAAGGGGGGGGGGGGCTGTTGAATTCATAGTTTCAGCATTTATTTCTGCTTCTGGGTGGATGGTGCCTATGTTTCCGTTAATGCATGTTTTGTCCAATGTTCAGTCCCACCTCCATTGTTCGATGTCACATTTTATACGAAAAGCATTGTTTTTTACGGGGGGGGGGGGCTGTTGAATTCATAGTTTCAGCATTTATTTCTGCTTCTGGGTGGATGGTACCTATGTTTCCGTTTAAGGCCAAAGTTATAATTTCGACACGGGTGATTCTATTCTGAGGACTAGACCCTCCTATGAATTCAAACCAACCAATGCTTGTACAAGGTGCAGACAACGTCACAGTGGTACCTCGGGCGTCTTCTCTGACACATGAATTCAAACCAACCAATGCTTGTACAAGGTGCAGACAACGTCACCATGGTACCTTGGAGCGTCTTCTCTGACACATGAATTCAAACCAACCAATGCTTGTAAAAGGTGCAGACAACGTCACCATGGTACCACAGGGCGTGTACCCCGACACATGAGGTGGCCTATATTAATTTGCTCACCTGAAAGGAACGTGAGTTACTAATAATCTTGGTGAAGGGAGAGTAGCGATGAGGGGTACGGGCATTCTGTCCAGTAAATATTCTCCCATTTGCTTGTCTGTGAATTGGGCAGTCTTCTGTAGCAACATGGTGATGATCTCATTGTGCCAGTGTAGACCTATGGGCAGCAAGAGATGAGAATTTAGATTGGACATTTTAATTGTTTAATTTTTTTTTTGTAACTCCTGGGACAAATCTTTGACACCCCCCCCCCCAGGATTAAGTAGCCTTCCCCTGCCCCCCAACTGAAATCGCTTCCTTGGTTTCTATTCGATAGAAACCACGAATTAGTTGTGTTGCTCTCGTTAAGAAAATCAATACATTCGAGTAGGTCAAAGCTGAATTCCGTCAAGGGGCTTCTGGAATGGTTGGAGCCAAGAGGGCACATGTCCAGGGCCCCATCTTCGGCGGCTGCCAAATTCTCTATGTGCCATGCAAAATATGTATTAATAATAATAATAATAATAAAAAAGTTTATTTGAAAAACACGCTTCATCCCCAAAAGCTCGAAGCGCGGTACAAAGTCAACCATATTAAAAAGAGAAATAAAAACAATCTAAAATTTGCCACATTTAAAAAACAGGCGCAACAATATAAAAACGACATACGAGCATACCCAGTCAAAGTCTTTCATCCCCTTTTCAACCATAAGCAACACAAGCCAGTATACATTAACTGAAAAAAAAGATGGTAGATAGCATCACCCCAGAAGGTGTTTGCGAAATAGATGTATTCTTAAATCGGTTTTAAAGGACTCCAGTGTCTGCCTGTTTCTGAGAGCGACTGGAAGGGCGTTCCAAATTGTTGGGCCGGCAAATACAAAAGTGCGTTTTCCGTAAGTCTCAGGGCGAACACACGGTATCGATATTTTGCCACTATATATAGAAATATATATAATATATATAAATTTGGAGAAAAGGTGTGGCCAAATAGCAGGCATCGTCCTGAGCACAGCTATAGGATGCACGGACCTGGTTCTGTCTTTCAAAAGATCTTTCAACATTTTTTTTCAACGGCCAACCAGAAATTTGTCTTTGATTTCAGAGCCTTCTGGAAATAAATTATCCAACTTTAAAAATAAAATTATCATCACAACAATAATATCCCACTGTTCAACCTAATTCATTATAATATAAATAGTATTAAGAGACAGCTGACCTGTTTTGGGATAAGAGCAGATCATGACGTCATCAGGTCTAATCTTCATGTCCATGATGTTTTGCGCATGCGTCCGGTAGTCGTTGTCTGCTCCAATAGGAAATGGTGTGTGCCAGAAACTCCCGGCATTGCCAAAGAAAAACGTGTTGCCGAATCTTGATTGACATTTAAAATAAAATACGATCAGCTAAGATCCGACAAGAAAGTTTCAGCAGTAAATGTCAATTGATTCTATTCAAAACTCTGATAAAAGCCCTATGACGACTCCAATGGCATAAAACATATTTCAAAATTTTGTCTGCCAAAGAAAGGTTTTACCTATCTGTTTATTGGGCCAGTTACTTATCAGTTACATGGTACAGCTATCTATCTGTTAATTTGGCCAGCTACCTATCTGTTCATTGGGCAAATTACATATCTAATTATTGGACCAGTTACCGATCTGTTAATTGGACTAGTTATCTATCTGTTAATTGGGCTATTTACCAATCTGTTAGTTGGATCAGTTAACTTTCTGTTATTTGGGCAAGTTACTCCTATCTGTTATTTGGGCTATTTACCTATCTTTTATTTGGGCCAGTTACTCCTATCTGATATGATCGTTTGGCCCGTTAACTATTTGTTAATTGGTCCTGTTATGTACCTGTTAATAGCAAAAGTCACCTATCTGTTAATTGGGCAAGTTACATATCTGTTAATTGGTCCTGTTACCCGTCTGTTATTGGGACAGTTACCTATCTTTTTATTGGGCCAGTTACCTATCTGTTATTTGGACCAGTTACCTATTTGTTAATTTGTCCAGTTACCTATCTTTTCATGGGCTAGTTACTTATCTTTTAATTGGACCAGTTACCTATCTGTTATTTGGACCAGTTACCTATTGGTTAATTGGACCAGTTACCTATCGGTTAATTGGGCCAATCTCGGGAATGTCGTTGGGCCGAATGGAAATTTTGGCCTTTTCCTTTCACCTTCATGTTCTTGTTTTTCTCCGTTTCTCTGAATGTCTTGGTCAACGTCAGGTTGGGTGGCCCTAAGTTGAACAAAACACAAATAAAATTTTAAAATACAGATGTCGACTTAAGTTTTACTCTAACATGACGACAGATGAGTTCCTTTATTGATCCAAACAAGATTATATTTCGTGTTATTATTTTGTGTTTTAACATTCTCAGCACCTTCAATAAGACACGGGCAAATTCTCAGCACCTTTAAGAAGACACATATATGTACACATTTTCAGCACCTTTAATACGACACATACAAATTCTCAACATTTTTAATAAACACAAAAAAATTCTCAGCACCTTTAATAAGACACATACATGTACATATTTTCAGCACCTTTAATAAGACACAGACACATTTTCAGCACCTATAATGAGACACAGACACATTCTCAGCACTTTTAATAGATACAGACACATTCTCAGCACTTTTAATAGACACAGACAAATTCTCAGCACTTTTAATAAACACTTTTTACTTTTATAAGATCCCAGACAGCCAATAAATCCTGATGCAAAGAAACAATTTTGACAGCCCTTGTCCCGAGCCTCCAAGCCCATTCACCATATATAAGTCTGTTGATGTTTTAACTTATACAAATTCCTATTGTGATGATTGTTTTCTTCCCTTACTTGCATACGATCGGTCGTTGTCAGTGTCCATCTCTCTGGCGTTACATAATGTCTCAGCAAATGAAAGCTTACTCCCGTGTATCAAGACCACACATTTGTTGAGTCCAGATATAGTTGGTCAACTCACTTCGACTGAGGTCATTGACCAGTGGGGAGGAGTAGGAGTGCTGCCAATCCACCAACAACCGATTACAACAGGTGGGGTGGTTCAAACTCAACAACTGGTTTGCCCAAATCGGAACAAACCGGCCCCAACACATTATTTATCGAAACATTTAAACAGTAACAGGTGGAGACAGATGACCAGAATCCCCATTGCCTACCTTATTGGCTATACGATCAACAACAACAAAAAAGTGGACTCAGGACGAGGTAGAGCAAAAATAACCCTTAACAAAATAATTACTTACATGTTGCGTCCAAGTCCCGAATAAAAGCAACACTGTAAAAATAATCTGTACTAGGAGATTAGACAAACGCAAGTTCAAAAACTGTAAATTTAAATGACGTTGAATCTGATGCTGACTTGCATACACTGGAGTTATTTGCTGGTGTGGCGATATCATCTGACCTAGAAAACCTTGTCCCTTCTGTCGGCTGGACCTCAACAACGTGGCTTACCTACTATTTTATTGTATATGTCGTGTGTGCATCTCCTTGCGTGTGAGTACTTGAGTGTTAGGGAGCATTTGGGTGTGAGTGAGTACTTGAGTGCATAAACAAGCGTAATTGATGTTAAAGAAATTCACAATGTTTTCCAAACAAAATGTGTGTGGGGGAATACGGTTGGGGGAAAAGGGGGAGTGTGTTTGGAGGGAGGGAGGGACCGAATAATTATGATGCTGTTAAATCTTAATTTTTGAGTTTGGTACAAGCCTTGGGTGTTCTTTGCCCAGTTCTGCTAACTAAAGGCATTGATTTTCAAAGCTTTTCTTAATTTCGACTAAACTAGCCTCCGACCGACGACAAGCAAATGAAATAAAATTTGATAAATATAAAATACACTAATGTGTACACTCAAGTACACCGTTCAAACTCTATGTGTACGTTCAAGTACACTGTTCAAACAGTATGTGAACACTCAAGTACAATGTACAAATACTATAGAACTTTGGCTTCTAATATTCTACATGTTTGAGTCTCTGTGTGCTAACTTGCCAGTCAGCTGAACTTTGGACTGGTTTGTTTTTTAACCACCAAATATCACATGTGATCTGGCCATGCAGAGCTGAACATTAGCCTCACTATTTTTTATAAACTGCCAAATATCACATGATATCCAGCAAGCGCTGAACGCTAGCATAAATTATTTTATGCAAGCCATACAATATCACACGATGTCTTCCCAGCTTGTAGTTTACTTTGTTTGAACTCAGAGACAAATGGTTGAAGTTTCCCAGAAACAGTCAAGATGTAGGTAGGGTAGATACATATTCTCCTAGCATTTTCTAACCCCGGAGACAAGGTCTGGCCTTGACCTTATGCACACTCGCAGTCGCAGACAAGCGTTTTAGTATGCGCTTTTTTTAAGGCTGCTCGGTCCGTTTGTTTGTGTGTGGTCAAACCATGCCCATCAAATTTGACCCGTCAAACCATGCCCATCAAATTTGACCCGTCAAACCATGCCCATCAAATTTGACCCGTCAAACCATGCCGATAAAATTTGACCCCCTTTCAGGTCTCTGCTTTTGCTGAAACTTTGTTCACTTACCCCCCCCCCCCTCCTCCCCGGTGACAATATAACCGATCATCACCAGTGACCTCCAAAGAGGTTTGAGTGATCTCAGCGGATATCTCAGGAAAGACCCGTCAAACCATGCCGATAAAATTTGACCCCCTTTCAGGTCTCTGCTTTTGCTGAAACTTTGTTCACTTACCCCCCCCCCTCCTCCCCGGTGACAATATAACCGATCATCACCAGTGACCTCCAAAGAGGTTTGAGTGATCTCAGCGGATATCTCAGGAAAGTAAAGTGATAGGAACATCGGAATTTTTCTTCTACAGCGTTTCCTTATGATTGGTTCCTCGTTCCCGATACAAATCAACAATAAAAACAAAATGTTAATTACAGAAAGGTCAAAAATGACATCTCCCAAGACTGAAAAGCACAAAATAAAACAATACATTAATTTTTTTTTAAATAAATGCTTTTCAACAAAAAAAATATACTAAAAAGCATAAAATAAATGTCGCTCAACAGTTGCAACAGTTACAGTCATATAACTGAAAAGCGTGGGGTGTCCATGAACTCAATTTTTTTGTAAATCGCAAAGACACGCACGCAGCGGTATCGCGATCACGATCGATGTTAGCACACATCAGCAATGCAAGGCAGTTGTGAGAAGACATACACGTATTTCCAAGATTAAATCATCCGTATCATAAAAAGTGTGTCAAGAAATAATCCCTTGCAGCAAGTTCACCAACATCATCCGTCAGCTGCATGATGGCCCGAGTGCAGGACAACGGTCAATCATCTCAAGCATTCCCCGTCACAAACGGTGTAAAGCAGGGTTGTGTACTTGCTCCCACACTCTTCAGTATTATGTATTCTGCAATGCTGTCTGATGCGCTCAAAGACTCCACCATGGGCTTGCCTATCCGTTTCCGCACCGATGGATCAGTTTCAAACCTTAGGAGGCTTCAAGCTAAAACCAAAGTCAAACATAACACCATCAACGAGCTTCTGTTTGTGGACGATTGTGGCCTCAACGCTGCCTTAGAAGCTACTATGCAATACAGCGTTAATATCTTCTCTGAGGCCTGCAACAACTTTGGCCTCACAATCAACACAAAGAAGACTGAAGTGGTGCATCAGCCAGCTCCCAGTAAGCCCTACGTTGAACCCAGCACCATCATCAGCGGACAGCGTCTATAGGCGGTGGATAAATTTACTTAAATTTACTTTCCAGATCTGTCATCACGGATGACGAAATGAATGCCAGACTCGCAAAAACTAGTGCCATATTTGGCAGACTCCGCAGTGCTGTTTGGGACAGGAGAGGTATCAGACGAAAAACGAAGATCAAGATCTATTGCGCAGCAATCCTCTAGACATTGCTCTAAATATGTGAAGCGTAGACAGTCTACCAGCGTCACGTCAAGAAACTAAACCACTTTCACACAACCTGCCTATGAAAACGCCTCTGCTTCAGGTGGCAAGAGAAAGTGCCTGACACAGAGGTCCTCGCTAGAGTGAACCTACATAGCATCTTCACAATCCTGATGCAGACTCAACTCCATTGGATGGGACATTAGCCTGCATGGAAGACAACCGGCTCCCTAAACTGATATTCTTCGGAGAACTTGCGATAGGCAAGCGCTCCCAAGGAAGTAAAAAAAAAGCGTTGAAAAGACTCATTGAAAGCGGCACTAAAAGCCTTCAGCATCAACTTTTTTTAATGGGTGCAGACAGCCCAGGACAGAGCCAGGTGGAGATCAGCTGTCAAGAAGGGGGCTGAATCTCATCAAGCAAGTAGGTTAGCCACAAGTAAGATAAGCAGGCTAGCCCGAAAATCAACTTCAGATCACCGACTACAGCAACTATCCCCTGCCCGCGGTGGAAGAGATTATTCTGAGCATGGATCGGACTAGCAAGCCACCTACGAACACATCGTAACCCACACCCTCCCGCCCCCAAACCCTTTTGACTAGATGGTCCTAGTTGATGTTGACGTACGAACAACTTGCAGAAATGTAAATGTATACATGTGTCCAAAATTATAATTATCATGCGGCCTCACACTTTTTTAGTCACATGACTGTAACAACTCTGAAGATTTGGTGGACATTTGTTGTATATCTTAAGTATAATTTGGAAAAAGTGGGCTTTTAAAAAGTATTTTATATTGTTTTATTTTCTATATCTACCTCTCTTTCTCTCTCTCTCTCTCTCTCTCTATATATATATATATATATATATATATATAATATATATATATATATATATATATTTATTTTTTTATTTATATTTTTATTTTCTATATATATCTCTCTCTCTCTCTCTCTCTCTCTCTCTCTATATATATATATATATATATATATATATAATATATATATATATATATATATATTTATTTATTTATTTATTTAATAAACAATGAAGACGTTTTATGTTTAGCCTTATTTTATTGCTATTCCATATTTAAAACATTTTGCTACAATCGTTTTAATAAAATTATGATCAAGGAGTATCGATTTACCAGTTTTGATTGATTATAAACTTTTAACATAAATTTTCATTATAAAGTTTTGACCATACTCTATTTCTAAATATTTATATAATACCACCTGGGACTTCTATCAAAAGTGGACAATAAGTTAAAGCTGAAGAAAACAAAAATCAATCATCCAACGTGTATTTGTAAACAGTTTTATATTCTGCCATCCTCTTCTTGTACTCGGCATCAAACTCTTTATTCATGGCCACAGTAAACCAATTCTTCCAGTCTCCGACATCACCTGACAAATATAATAAATCAAACACGTAATAATTAGTAGACACCAAAACATGGCGGATGTCATCATAAAATGAACATTAAGGATTCAGCTAAGGAAAATTCATAATTGACTACGCACAAGGGGCGTGTATGATACAAACACATCTTCCTTAAGTGTTTTTTAAGGGGACGTGAGGGCATAATCTGAAAAAGCAACGCTTTTCCAAAGGTTGTAATTTTTCGCTAGTGCTCTAGTCTAGACAGAAGTGTGCAGGGAACAATAAGAGTTGAATGTTTGGTGCTTTATTGTTAAAAACTGCTGATCATCACATCGTTATTGCCAACCAAAGTGTTTTTCTTTTAAAACAATAGCATCAATCTAACCAAAGGCAACTGTTGATCACCAGCAACATCTGATCACAATCATCACATGACACCAGCAACACGTGATCACCACCAACACCTGCGACTGTGCTAGACTCAAATAATTTGGCACAGTGTCTCCAAAGATTATGCAGGGAGCCAGTCCAGGCGAAGGGAGATCTCCAACGTGCCGCTTCGCTGCCCGATACTCGGACTTCCGGGGGGGGGGGTGGTGACGCTTTGGGACGGTCATAAAACGCTTGGTACTTGCTCACTGACGTCATTTCCTAATGCACATTTTCAGTAGATAGCCAGTAAACAGATGTTGTAAGAAAACTGGAAAATCTTTTGTAGGGAGCCCGGGATAAATTTTAATTTAGTTTTTTTTTTTTTAATTGTGAACTGCTACACAAGAAATATATCCCCCTAAAGTAGTTGTTAAAATAAAGTTATCAAAGTTAAGTAAAATTGGGAGCAATGATTGTAAAACTCACTCAGATGATACAGTATTATTTAACACTGTTTTTTTAGTCGATTTGCTTCGTGCTTGTCTATTTTTCTAGTTCCTCATTCAAGGGGCCATTTAATGTTACACAAATTTAAGATAAGACAATTATAATCACTCAAAAAGAAGGAACTACATGGTTCACCTTTTCTGTAAAAGGCCAACTTTTTGTCTTGAAACATGACACGCATTTGTGGATTAGCGGAGCTTTCTTTAAATTCTTTCATCTTCTCGAAGCT